TTTTTTTTTTTTTACAAGAATTTGATTTTGAACGCAAATTTTTATTAGAATGTGTATGAACTATGAAGGGTACTCCGCCCTTACTATTCGACAAGAATTCTGTTTTACAAGATATATAATAGGGCCAGTGTTCTCCTTTCTTTTGGTATTTTCACATTCATTTTTTTTTTCAACCAAAAGGACATTTTATTACTAAGGAAAATTTCAGTTTCACTTTAAAATTCAAAATTTGAGATTTTCAATACTTAAATTCTTATTAATTAAGACACTAATTCCGTAACAGCATATGTTTCTGTGTAAGATTAATTTATACTCGTAAATTAAAATTCAAGTTGTAGGAGCTATGGCAAGGATGTTGGCCGCGAATCTCGCCAACGTGTTGGAAACAAGAAGCCAGTTTTCGTGTTCGACATATGTAACAAGTCCTCCGCACGACTTGAGTTGATCAAAGTATTCTTGAAACAATATTCTTGTGAATCTTTCTTTAAATTTTGGAAACCCTTAATTTGTCTATCGACATGTTTTACTTCTTACTTTTCTTTCTTATTCGAAGAATTAGTTGGATCAAAGACTTAGATATTTATATTTTTCAAAAGAAATATTATTGATAAACACTTGCTTTAATATATGTTTTGACAATTATCTAGTTCAATGATTAAAAATATAATATAAATACAACAAATTTTTATTTTTGGTGTGCATGATGCATTTTTAATTTTATTTATTTTTAATTTCATATAAAAAAATTTAATAACTATGTTATATAATTTATTAAACAATAATATATAAAAATTAATGTCCTATTCAAAATAAAGATACAGATTAAAATATTAAAAAAGAAGCATTCTTAGCTAGCTAGAATGAAAATGCAGATAGAAGATATGATTTCAAAATGTGTCAAGCTAAACGCTGGCAATACCACGTGGTTATGTCGAAATTCAGCAATTATTGAATGAAGAAGATGGAAGGATGCATCCATAGCCTTACTCACATGGATGATCCCCTGTTTATCTTCGCATCTCAATCTTTCTAACAAATATATATATATACAGTCAAACGAACTAAATCACATTGTCAAAGAACTTAACATGTACAATCTTATGTAATAATATACGCTTCAATTTCTTACTTAATTTGACTATATATAATTTGAAACACTAAACAAGGTGCATAAAGAGGAATCTCGAGTTTAGTAATAAACTTCATAGACCATTTTGAACCTTTAATTAAAAAATTAGAACAATATCTCAACTTTAAATTCACTGATTTTTATATGCCTATCAGAATTAAAAACTAAGAAAGTTTTTTCAATTGATAGTAATTGGTACACTTTTTAATTCAATACACTTATCAGTACTTACTAGTTCAATAATTAAATTTTACAAATGAAATTTTTCTCGTTTTGAATTTAAATTTAAAAATAAAAATTTCCTAATAAAAGTGTTGTAAAGTATATTAAATTAAAAAATGTAGTAATTATTGTCCTTTTTTATTTATATCATAAGAGCACGAGTTAATGTTGTGATAAAAATAGATATTTTTTTTTGAATTTTGTATTGAAAAAATAAAAATTGATCTTTAATTTATCAGTTATCTAATTAAATTCATTTACCTTACACCAATAATAAACTTAATCAATTTTTATATTTTTTCTATATGTATTTTTAACAAAAAAAAATGCATTAAGAGTACAAGTTAAAAATATTCTTAAAAAATGGTATTTTTAGCTTGCACCATCCAGCTGAAATGATGATTTACTCTTAATTAACACATATTTAGTTTGAAAGAAATGGTAAAAAATAATAATAATAAAGGTTGTAATATATTTTCATTTTTTATCTCTCCCATTCCGCCATTTGATGGATTAAAATACATAAATTGATGGAGAGGGTGGGAAATAAGGAAACTCTTTCCTAATCCTTCATTTTATTCAAATTAAAAATCATTAATTTTATATAAAAAATTTTTTCTCTTTCCCTCTTTATTTTTTCAAACCAAACAAAACTCTTAATAATATAAAACAGTCAAATGGGTGAGTCAAGTTGGGATATAATTGGGTTGTTGTAGGTCAGCAGCAGCGGCGGCAGCAGCAGCAGGTGGATTAGGTCTTACGGGTTTACAAATTAGACATTGTGTCCCAATTCATGTGCAGGGACGGAGCCAATGAAGGACAAGGGGGAGGAGGGAGGGGGGTGGGGTAGCCGCCCCCCTAAACTTTTGAAAAATATTTAATATGGTACTCTAATTTTTATTTGTTAAAATTTTGTGTTATAATATGAATTTCAAGGATCATTACAAATGTAGAAAGAATATTTATGACTTAAATAAAAAGTTTTTAAAAAATAAGGATATGATTTTAAATAATTAAATGAAGTTTATGACAAATTTAATTAACTAGGAATTGGGGTTCTTAAACATTTCTTTATTTATTAAACTCCAAAAAAGAAAGTTTTGATTCTTTATTTAATCAACTTTAAATTTATAGTCTTCTTTAGTTTTTTTTTTTTAAATTTTCTTTCTTAATATTTTATATAATAATTTAAATTTTTTTATGGCATTGAGATATATTTTTTCTTTTCATGATTGAATTTATAATTATTTTTTATGTTAAATTAATTAAAATTAAAGTTCACTTACTAAAAAAACTATTTTACTATTTTTTAATATTCTATTATTTTTTATAATATTAGTGTTTATCAACATGATCTCATAAAAATTAGGAGGAAATATCCCAAAATTACATTATTTCATTCAAATCAAAGCACTCTCGTTCTTACTTCAAGAATATGTTATTTTTATCATTTTCAAAGTAATTTTATTAAAATAATGTAATTTTGTGGTGTTTTCTTCTAATTTTTTAAAAATTTTGTTAACAAACACATTTATCTTTTTTAATTCATTCTTCAATAGATCATTAAATAATTATTACTATAATATTTTATATTTTATTATAATATATAAATTTATTTCTAATTTTTGTTAAAAATATATCAATAAAAAAATCATAAGTAGATCCTTTTATATGAAAAAGAAATTTTTTAAAAAAATATTAGTATCATGAAGTATATATACTCTCAAAAGCTAAAACCTTTAATACTAATTTTCGCCCCTTCACTGAATTTTCTGGCTCCGTCCCTGCTCATGTGAGTTACAAATCAAATGGGTGGGAGACAACTATTTTCACCCATCTATTAAATGGGTAAGAATGTAATCTAATTGACGTGATTAGTTGAGTTTTAAAGATTATTTAAATTAGTTTTTTAATATAATTAATATTTAATATTTAATAATAATAATTATTTATAATTTAAAATATTTAATTTATTTAATAAAAATTAGCAATTAATAATTATTTATAAAAAGCTAATATAAACACTTACTCAGCGTATAATAAATCAATTACAATAATATTATGATAATTTTTTCATATAATTTTTACAAATATGATTAATAAACACTGTTCTTTTTATATATACAATAGTATAAAAGTGCAAAATAGTGTTTATCATTTTATAATAAATTTATATAAAAATATAAAATAAATATTAATTTTAATTTCAATACTATATACATAAATTAAATTAAATATTATTTTTTATTTTTTTAAAACGCTTAATATGTGACTAACCCACTGTAAATTTAAGGAGCAAGACTGTACATCAAAGATTAAATTCTCAGAACGGAACGAGTAGGACATGTATACAAGGAAACGAGTCCTTTCGAGGCAATAATCAACCGGACTGT